ACTAACCACTGCTGGACCTGAAAGGACCAAGCAGGCCATTAGTGGTAAGATTGCCCTTTCCCCTGACACTTCATCCCTTGGGGTGCCTCTGGCCAGGAAGGATGAAAAAGCAGGCAGAGACCCTGCCAGCAAGGAAGGAAGTCAGAAAAGAGAGAAGGAGACAGGTACAACCCCCCCTCCACGTCGCCTTCTGGACAGCTCAGGCTCCAGCCGGGCAGAGAGAAGCTCAGATTGTCTGCGATTATTCTTTATGGCCAAACACAACTCTTCCAGGGCCTGAAGCCTGCAGGACAACCTTCTGCACCTTAGCACAGCAGAGAGCCCCAAGGCCTGCCTGAGAGTTCATTTGGTGGGGAAGAACCTGCTGCCAGGACAGACTCCGAGGGACATCGTGGGTAAAGATAAAAGCTCTCTCCTGCTCTGTCACTACCTGCCCTGGGAGACGCAATGTAAATGCACACAAGCAGGGGACTCTGATGGCCCCAGGGGACACCAGCCTTAGCCATATGTTAGGTATCAGATATGACACCCTCTTCTCCAGCAGGGTGGTCAACCTAGCGTCCCTGAGCCACAAAACCAAGTGCACGGGCTGCTCACAGTATGTGGTCCAATCCTACTTCTGTCCTTAACAGGGAGACAGGGGCTGGTGGCTGAAAAGACACGGGGGGGTCACAGCCTCTGGCCTCCCCGATCAGCCTGGCTCCTCCATGTTTCTGCTGATTTTTCACATAGAGATCAGTGGGCCAAGATTACCCTTTGGGTAACATAACTGCTGGGAACTCTTCGACCTTGGGCAGACACAACTTTGCATCTGGTGGTAGATGGCAGACCCGCACTCCCCGACTAGAGCCATGGCATTTACGAATGGGAAGTTCCCCCTCCCCTGGACAGAACTGGGAAAATAGTATTTTTTAGATTTTTGATTAAGAGAACAACAGATGGTGAAGGTTTAGAAATCTGTTCCAGAGAATCTAAACTGTGGGAGGGATCAGCGAGGCGTGGGAAACGGGGTGAGTTTGTTTCTCTGTGTGTGCTGAGGTCCCCTCCTGCAGTCCCCAAAGCAAAGTATTGGGAACATAGGTGGAGGTGGTTGAGGTTTACCTACAGTAGAGGATGAAACAGCTGATGATCCAGAAGTGACCCCAGAATAAGCCACTTTCTCTATGCCAACTGCTCCTCCAGGGGCTCCAGCTCCAGCACTAGGGCAGGGCACCCTCCAGAACATCCCTGAGAAGCCAGCCGTGTCAACACTCTGGGCTGCACAGCATTAAGGTGCTGGGTCCTCCATCACTGAGGCTCAGTGGGAACCTGCCATCTGCACTCTGCCTTAGCCTGCTTTCTACTGCTGTAGCAATATCCTGAGTCAGGTTCTATATTAAAAAGCTTATGTAGCTCACAGGTTTGGAAGCAGGAAGTACAAATTGGCAGCCCCATCCACTCAGCCTCTGGCGAGGGTCTCCTTGGCTGTATCACAACATGGCGGGGAAGCAGGAAGGGAAACAGCTGCATGCAGAGACCAAATACACCGGGAGACTTGTTTGGTAGCTACTCAGTCTCATGAGCATTCCCAGGGTCCCTGCAAGTTACATTAATCCCTCCCAAGGACACCCCCAATGACCTCCCACAAAGCCCTTTCTCTAGAAGGTTCCACCACCCCTGGACATCATCACACTAGGGACCAAGCTCCCAGCACATGAATCCTTAGGGGATAAACACACCCAAATCTTAGCACAGTCTCACCTATCTATATCTCAAGTTCACCTACACCTCAAGGCACAAAAGCAAACCAGCAGCCACTGCAACGGGTGGCTTAGCGTCACTGTTCTGTTTTTGTTTTGTTTTGTTTTGTTTATCATTTTTTGTGTTTTCATTCAGACCATGCCAAGCTCTCTTCTAGGTATCAAGATAGGCAGGAACACGCAGATGGTGCTCTGCAGTTCTGGAGATCTGTCTAGAGCGCACACTAATAGAGAAGACAGACGGCTGAAGAGTATTCCGTCAAATAAAGAATGCAACACCAGCAGGGACAAGATTCAGGAGAGAAATCAAAGTGGTACAAAAGCCCGCCCCTCGGCTCTAACATGTGAAAGGGTTAGAGCCCTCCTCACTCCCGCCCTCATGACAGACAAAGCCGGACAAACCGAAAATCAGTGACTTCTCTTGGGCCAATCAGTAAGCTGCATTTGCTAGTTACCACCCTGAGATCTAGAGAGAGACAGAAAAACCCTGAGGGTCACCCCTGCAATATGATGACTCACCCAGCCAGTGCTTGGGTGGTTCTCACAAATTGCTGGATGCGAGTGTAGATTCAGGTGACAGCTAGCAACTTCTAGGGGCCACAGTCTTAGGAACCCCCAAACTTTTAGGGCTACATCTCCAAGATCTCCACTAAAAGGACAGTATAATCATATTGGTTAAAAGCAGCTCTAAGCAGGAAAATATATGCACCAAAATCATCTTTACCACAATAGACAGTCAGGAAATAGGACTGCAGGTTGAAAGTATAACTCACGTGCAAGCTCTTGCCTGTCATGCACAAAGCCCTTGGGCTCAATCCTCAGCACTACACACACATATCAGTACCTCATTTTTCACAAATACGGAGTTAAGTCCCACCAAGAATACCTATGAAAGCCAGAAGTGGTGAACTATGAGGGGGGTGGCAGTAAAGCAGTGGCCTGCTATCTTTCCACCAACTTCTAACATACACACACACACACACACACACACACATATATTAATCTGACCAAATAAAAGTAGTTTTTAAAAAGTGAGCAAAGACACTGGGTCATGACAAAGGCCAAGCAGGGTAGCATGTGTCATGTCGGAGCTGGTGCCGGCCTGGCTGGAAGGCTACACGAGCAAATCCACACACAGGCCAGTCTCAGCTGCCTCAGTTTCCCCAGAAGCCAGGACAGGGCCTGGTGCCATGCCAGTTGTGGCTGAAAGCTTTAGAGCTGTAAGCTGAGGATCCAAACTCCAGTTTGACGACTCCTAGGTGTGAGCAGCAGCCTCAGTTTCCTCCCTGCCCTTCAGTGGCGGTGTCAGGGGAGTAACTGCAGCCCCCTCCCCCTCCCTGGCACCTCACGTGGTACGGTACATGGAGAATGAAGACAGCTGCTGCTTCTTAAAAGCTTTAACAGACACACTCAAGCATCACTTAGTGATGCAGATGCATTCTGGGAAGTGGGTCAGCCAGTGACTGCTGCATTGTGGGAACATCACAAAGCAGAAACATAAACATAAGCTGCATGGGTGTGCGTGCGTGTGTGTGTGTGTGTGTGTGTGTGTGTGTGTTAGATACACATGGTATAGTGTATAACTATTGGGTCATGGTGAACTAAACAACACAAGATTAAATTAATCAGAGAAAAGACAATGTGATCAACACACAGCGTACCCATGAGATGCATGAGGCTCCTGCCACAATAACAGAGCATCCCGCTTTATAATCAAAGATGGGGCACCATGGGGCAAAGCTGCTCACATCACAGACAAGATGTGCAGGAGAGAGCAAGCAAAAGAAAGGGATGAGGTCCCACAGTTCCCTCCAAGCCACACCCCCAATGATCTCACTTCCTCCCACTAGGCCCCACCTCTTAAAGGTCCCCTCACATCCAGAAGTGTCACACTGGGGTACATTCCAGATCCAAACTATAGCAATGTCTTTCCACAGTTATTCTACCCTGTGCATAATTATGTGCTGTTATTTTTATGTGACTGGCAGTAGAACAGATTTTTCACAGCAGTATCACCACAAACACATAATATTGCGCCATGATGTTATAACAACCACAATGTCTTAGTGCTAGGAATTTTTCAGCTCCATTATAATCTTATGCAGCCGCGACTGGACATGCAGTACAGGCAGACCCAGAGGCTGCTACACGGCATGCGTCTGTGCTTGAAGGAGCTGCCATGCAGAGAGGGCCCCCAGGAAGAGCTGACTGCCTAGATCCTGGGGCCCCATCACCACAGTGACAGGAAGGGACACCCAGGAATGCAGCAAAAGGACAAAAGGCACTGGGGCAGCAGAGGGGAGGGAACAGGCCACTCCCATGGACAGGATCAGCAGGGCCATGGGAAACACCTGTCTACTGCCTGGCCATTTGTCCTCAAGCGAAGCCGGTTCCTCTTCCCATCTTCCTTCTCCAAATACATTCAGTCCTCTGTGTCAACAGGTACCCCATATACAGATTCACCCCATCCCGGATGGAAACATTTTTAACTCCAGCAGGTTCCCAAAAGTCAGCCAGGCATGGTGGCACATGCCTGTAATCTCCGCACTCAGGAGGCTGAGGCAGGAGGATCAGCATGAGTTTGAGGCCAGCCTGGACTACTGAGTGAGTTCAAGGATAGCCTGATCTACATGGTGAGACTCTATCTCAAAAAAAAGTCATCACCACTGAGCACTATTCTGGATCCACAGGAGGGCACGCTGTGTGGACGGACACCACTGTAACACCTCCGGTCACGGATCAGAGTCCTGTCCAGAGCACACTGTTTAAGCACTGTTCACCCCACACCTTATTGATACACTGTGTAGCTTAGGAGTGCAGTGGTTGCATCCACATTGAACACGCACACAGGTTTCTCTTGTCACTTTGTCTATTAGTACAGGACCACAGCCATTTGCATAGCTTTTACATTATATGCAGTATAAATCATGTAGGCATGACTTACAGGAAATGAGAGGACTAGGTAAATTCTATGCAAATACTATGCCCTTTTCTACAAGGAACCGGGCATCCGCAGACTGTGGTATCAGTGTGGAACCTCGGAAAAAAATTCCTACAGATACAAAGCGATGACCATGAGTATAAATTTGGAAAAACAGGATGATCTTAAAAATGAGAATTAATTGCATTGAAGCTTCTGTTAGAAGGCGAGGGCGCAGTACACCTCCTCCCACAGCTCCTGGGTTCTGCATGTTAGCTGAGCCGCCTACAGCAAGGGCGTACCAGGCCAAGCACCCCGGGACCAAGACACATCCTACTCACCGGGAATCTCCAGGCACAAGACGCCTCTCACCAGGTCTGCAGGACACTCCGGGACTCTGCGATGGCTCAACGCTTAAATATGCAGAAAACTGTAAGGAAAAAGATGGCAAACAGGGAATTAACCAGCTGAGAAAGCAAACAGCTCATTCATAAAGAAGGGGGATGCGTTACAGACCATAACCTCAAAACAGGAAGACTCCAAGATTCCACAGGGCAAGCAAACATTTGGAAAAACAGTCAAACGCTGATCATGATTCTCCCACAGTTTTCAAGAGAGCCCTCATATGCACACGCAAAGGTCAGTGAGTACAGATAACAAATGGCTCGAGGCGGCGTGCGGTCCAGCTCCATGCTAAGCACGTGGGGAACACATTGCTCAAACTCTTGGGAGAGACATGGGAAACCCTAGCCATTAATATTTCAGGTTCCATTCGCTCCCATAGGAAATGAGACACATTCATCAAGGATCCGTCCCTAAGTTGTCTTCCCACAGTAGCAAGCTGCCGCGGGAGGTACAGTGCTTAGCAAGTCTGGGGTTATTTGTCTTAAAATTGTGTGCATGGGGTGTGTGGCCCAGTGGTAGAGCACTTGCCTGCGTGTACAAGGCCCTGAGTTTGATCCCCAGTCCTGTTAAATAGCGTTTGCCACAGAGGAAGGCAGGAGAAGATTCTAAAGGGGAAGCCTGATGGCACCAAGTGTAGGTGACCAGAAGGAGCCTCCAGCTGGGCAGTGACACTGTTTCCTCCCACAGACACGGGCAGAGGTCGGCACAGAGCCTATGGCCCCTTCCAGACCTCAAGGTGCCTGCCTGAGTCAGCAGCCACCAGGGTCTCCACACAGAGCCAGGCCCAGGGACAGACACCTCTGCTCCCACCGGAATGCTGCCTCCAAAGGCCGGAAGTCCGAGTTCTAGTTCAGTAACCTACCTGTGCCTCCGCCCGCTTCCCTGCAAAGAGGACACCAGCCCTGAGACCCCATGCTGGCTCAGGCCTCTCCCCTGCACCACTCCCAATTCCTCTCACCCTCTCCTGTCCACCAGGCCCCCCAAGGAACCCAACCCAGGGACTGATGGGGTTCCTGCAGCTCTAATGAATGTCAGCCTCCACCCTGCAGCTTGCTGCCTCCTGGGAGCTGTGTCCCACAGCAGAGGCCTCCAGAGGACAGCTACGCTCCCTGTCCTCCACGGGGCTGCTAGGACCCGGAAGGATGACGGGGACACTGCCCACAGGCGGGAGGCCAGGCCACCCCACACCCTGCCTGCTTCTCCTTCACGTGGCGTGAACGAGGACTATGCTTATGGTGAGGGGCTCTGTGGAGAGGGGATGCAGGCGCAGCCCCCATGACAAAGCCACCTACTCTGAACCACTCGGCCCGGGCTCCACCGCAGCTGCAGCCCTGCCCCTCCCACTGCAGCCTGCTGCTGTCTGTGCATCACTTCTGTGCTCCTATGGAAGCACTCCCTTTGTGCATTCCTATGGAATCTTCCTAGCGAACTCCTATACATTCTTTAAACCCCAATTAGAGGGGCACCCTGGAATGACAGTGCGAATCACAGTTCTTAGCCCTGTCTTATTATCTGTATAAAATTTTTATTAGTACGTTTGCAGTACACACAATTTACAATCATCTTGGGGAGTGGCTACGTCAGTAATAACGAAAGGGAAAGAAAGAGCTCGAAAGGAAAGAACTTGTAGGTATCCGCATATAACTGCATGTATGCTTAAGCGTGCAAGACTGAGAATCATACTACTGCTTCGTTAGTTTGTTGAAAAGAATGGTTTGTGCTGTCATTGTTGGATTGTTCATTTTTTTGCTTTGAGTTTGTTTCTTCAACAACTGCTTCTAAAATACCAATATGTAATATATTAACTACTGATGATTTCTTATTGCTATTTTTATTGAAATTCTGTATCATTTTCACCCTTTTTTTGTATCTTTTTTATGAAAAAAAATACATTTAGTTTAGTCTCTTTCCCACCCTTCATCCGTTCCTCCTCCAATCCCCTTGCCCCATTTTCATTCTTGCTGACGTTATTAATCTCAGCTCGTGGAGGCTGTTAGGGCCCTGTCCCCGGCACGGCCTCATTCCACTCATTCCCCTTTGGCTTTCCCTCACCCCCATCTCTGGTCTCTTGGACCACTTCCCCTTGCAACAGACCCATCCCTGTCTCCCCCTGTCCATCCTCTGTTACTCTCTCTGTGCACTGCCTTTAGTCCTGCCCTGTTCCTGCAGCCCTCACAACTGCTCCTGACCATCTCTTCAGCGTCCTCTGGGGCTCCTGCTCTTTGGGGGGCCTGCTTGGTGCCAGGAAAGCACACCTGTCCAGAATGGAAATTCTCCTGACAGAGGAAGATGAACGTGAGGGGCCGCAAAGCTGGGGAAGGCTGGGTCAGGAGGAGGATCGGGGTGGAGGTCAGAGACACGGAACAGAAACGCAGCAGCTCCAGCCAAGCAGTGACCACCACCCTCAACCTGGCCCTCACCCGACAGGCAAAAGAGGCCGCCAGGAGTTTCTGACAGTGGAGAAACGCACAGTATCCAAAAGGGGCAGGATGACTGGGGGAGCAGGGATCATCCACGGGCACCCCAGAATGTGAACACAGAGGTCCCCTGGGGGTCAAAGTTTCATAGCTCCTGGAGGAGGGGGATCCTCACTGGCACTGCCCACTACGGGGGAGGGAGCTGTGTGGGACAGGCCTGCAGAGAAGCCCCTACCACCTCCACCCACTGCCTGGGCCCCGCCTGCATCCTGATTAGGAAAAGGCCTGGGCCTGTCCAGCTGTGCCAGCAGCCACCCACCAGTTCCCAGATCACAGGCTCCCATCGTGGGCAACTGCAAAACTGCTTAACAACCTGTCCATTAACTACCATGGGGCCATCACCTGCAGCGTGTTCCCGAGGCTAAAAATACAGCCAGCCTCCCCAGTGCACGTTTCTTGCACAGAAAGGTCCCAGGAGCAGAGCTGCTGCCTGGAAGGCAGGAAGTCGGTGACTGCCGGGGGCAGGGCACAGGCTCTCAGCTTTCTGCACACTGCAGTGCCCAGCAGGCAGCCCTCCTGGCTGCGTACACACACATCCTGCCCTCCTTCCTGGGCTTGGCCACTCTCCAGGCCCTGCCAGGAAAAATGTCTGCAAGACAGAGCAAAACACCCCAGCCACACAAAGCCCTGCATCATTGGCTGGCACCCAGTGGAGCAGGGTTCCCAGGTGCCAGCTGCTGCCCTCCACCCTGATTCTTGACCCAGAAAAACTGGGGAGGTAGCACTGCAGGCCAGTGCCCACCTCATGTCCCAAGAAATGCCAGTGGAACTCAGTATTGTTACTAGTTCCAAACATTGGGTCCAAGGAACTGGGTTAGTAGGAGATCTAAGAGCTCTGAGCAAGTAGCATTTAAAGTTATCCCACACTAGACTTTAGATTTAGAGACATTCTGCCAATATTCCCTGTTTGTACGGTATGGAGACCAGCTGGGAATGGCCAAGCCAGGCCTGCCAGAGGATGACCAGAGTCGTTGCAAAAGACACAGCAGCTGGCCACATTAAAACCTCATCCAAAGAGCCTGGCTGTCCTGGGGCCCCTGGACAGCAGAACAATGGCCAGGCCCCGGAGGAGGAAGCTCCTGGAGTGAGTCTGTCCTCAGGGGCTGGGGCTACTCCATCCTTCCTGACCTGCTCAGGGAGCTGATTGTATATGCTGCATCTGAGTCACCCAGCCCTGTCCCGAGCCCTGTGTGCTCACACCTGCTGCCAAGTGCATCATCCATCACCTCCTGCGGTCCTCCCTCAGCTGGTCAGAGAGTTTCTACCATGTACTGCCCAGGCTTCCCACTCAGGCAACTCAGCGAAGCTATTCTGCAGCTGAGGCCAAAGACTCTGCAACGGCTTCTGGGCAAAGGTAAACTCCAGGTGTTGGAAGGCAGCAGTGACCCTGTGCGGACCAGGGAGCAAGGGCTGGCCATGCTGCCCCAAGGCTCTGTCCAGCACACACTCAACCGAGCAGGCAGCCACACAGCACCAGGGCCACCATTCCTCCAAGCAGCATGTGCTTCCCTGAGTGTGCCTGACTCTGCCAAGTGAGTCTCCAGGGAGCCCTCATGCTCCCTCTATCTTGAGAGGCAGAAATTCAAGACCTAGCATGGGTTCCCTGATGCTAGAACTGGAGAACTGCTTGCCTTTGCCCCAAAGCCCCCCTCATCCACTCAATCCTCAGCTGCTTACGCCGAAGCCTTGGAGCCAACCGGGACCCACGTCCTTCCCTTGTCCCCACACAGGTCCATGCTGGCTCTGCCTCCGAAAGTCACAGACTCCCAGCACTGCCCCAAGGACCACAGCTCCAATCTGTAGATGGCTGAGGTAGCACCTAGGAGCTCACTGCTTCTGTGATGCCCTCCTTGCCACGTGCCTCAGCACCCGGCCCAAATTATTCTCCTGATGTCAAGTCTTCACCTTGGTCCCCTCTGGACCCACTTCCAGCTCTCCCATGACAGGCCATCTTTCCTCTTCCTTGAACACACAAGCAGGGACCACCTCAGGGCCTTGGCACAAGCCTTTCTCCAAGAATTTCACACAGTCCCTCCCTCCTCTCACAATGTTGTGTGCATGTGTTCTTCCCAACCATATTTAAAACCATGGCACCACGCCCCAGCCTTCCCTGACCTTCCCTGCTGTACTTACCGTCCCCTAAAATACAGCATCTTTATTTACTTGGTCATCGCCCTCCTCTCCTCACTGCAAACCCAGCCCTGTTGCTTCCCAGTGACACCCTCTACAGTCACAGGCATAGGGTAAGGAGCCCAGGGTTGAAGCCAGAATGCTTGGTCTTGCAAGTTAGGAACTCCAGCAACTGCTTAACCCCTCTGTCTTCCCACCTTCCTGTCTCTTCCTGTCTATCACATCCCCACAGTGCTGACCTCAGAGAGCGGCTGGGAACGGGGTGAGTTAACATAACCTGTGCCGAACTGCTCAGCCCCAGCTGAGGCTGCCTGGGGTCATTTCAGAAACAGTACCAAACATCCCAGGCTGCCCGGGGAAGACATGAAGGGATCAAAAAGAAGACAGAAAGCCAAACACTGCAACAGAAATTAACATT